CTGATACAGGCCATGGTCTTTGCAATCACTTGTTGTGCAACAGAGAGTTGGACAGTGACTAGGGAGGATAGAAGGAGAATTGATGCCTTTGAGCTGTGGTGCTGGAGAAGAGTATTGAGGGTTCCATGTACTGCTAGGAAAACAAACAGATTTGTCCTGGAAAGGGTCAAACCGGGCGGCTCCTTGGAGGCAAAGATTCTGAGGCTCCGTCTAACATACTTTGGACATGTTGCAAGGAGGGATGGGTCCTTGGAGAGGGACATCATGCTTGGGAAGGTGGAGGGACAGCGCAGGAGGGGAAGGCCCTCTATGAGGTGGATTGATTCAGTGACTGGGGCAATTGGGATGGGTGTGTCGGAGATGGTGTGATTGGCACAGGAAGAGTCACAAGCCTCGATGTGGCACATAACTACAGCTTCCTATAGATCCTGAGTGCCCCCAGGCTGCAGCAGCTGAAAGCCCATGGCTTGTCTTCTCACAGCCCGGGGCTGGGGCCGGGAGGGACAGAGCTCAGCCGCCGGGGCGTGGGGGCGCTCAGGGCTGGCTACCCGGGAAGGTCCTTCCTCATCTTCTCATAGCTGCCAGTCCTGGGCTTGTAGGTGTGTCTCTCGTGTGTTGATGTCCTCATGAAGCATCTCACTGCCCTTCTGAATCATGGAGGGTTTAGGTCCAGGAAGCCTGCTGCTTCTACCTTGACCTCAGGACCATAAGAGAAATCTCCATTTCCACACAGGGTCATAGTGACAGGAGGTAGGACTTGATGCAGTCCACAACCAATTAAGTTGTTTCAGTCTTTTGACATTTAATATGTGAAAGTAAGGTAAACATTGTCCTTGGTGCCAGACCCTCAATCCAGTGTAAAGCATTGTTATGTTGAAGGGCTGGCCCACTGGTGCTGGTCAAGTTAAAAGGAACAGTAGTGAGGTCCAGAGCTGTGTGTCATTGTCCCTACAGTCTTTCAGGATGGGATCTGAGAGTACTAACCAGATTCATAAAGAAGTGATGAGGGACCCGCACCCCATCTGCTCTCCACTTCTGCTGGCCAGGCGCAGCCCCTGCTTGGCACTCTTGGGCTCTGGGGCCTTGGGGCCTGAGTGGTGTGCGGCCAGGAAGGAGCAGATGTGGGCGGAGGACAAGACCCCTTGGTACTTCACGGCCAGAGGATCTGGTTTCCTTCGCCTCAGCCCACAAGGGGCCTGCCTCTCACCTTTCAAGAGGTGCTCTGTTCCCACGTAGACCATTCTGTCTAGCCCTCCGTCCACCCTAACCTAGTTTCTACCCTTCAGACCCAGGAGCCCTGCCTGTGGTTCTCATGGCTGCTTTCCTGGGCCCCATGGAGGGTGGTCCACAGAGCTGCTCCTACCTGGCCTTTAGCATGGAGCAGGGCACCCCCACAGCACCCCTCAGCATGGAGCAGGGCACTCCACTCAGCACAGAGCAGGTGACACCTCCCAGGACAGTGAAGGGTGGTCCCCTGCACCACCCCCTCAGTGCAGGTGACTTCCCTAAGCCATCCGCCTACAGCTCAAGGTGCCCCCCACCCAGCACAGAGCAGGTGTCCCCATCATTACAGTGCACGGCAGGCCCCACAATGTGCATGTGCCCTCACAGGCACTCAAACGTCGTCATCCTGACAACGTCCAACATCACCGAGCGCATCGATGTGGCCTTTGTGGACAGAGCCGACATCAAACAGTACATCGGGCCACCGTCGGCCCCTGCCATCTTCAAGATCTACCTCTCCTGCCTGGAAGAGCTGATGAAGGTGGGGCCCTGGTCTGCCTTAGGATGAACACAGCTGTGCATGGGGCGCAGGGTGGGCCCTGCAGGGAGCTGGGCACTCGGGGTTCCTGGGCAGGGCTGGAGAAGGGAGCCCAAGATTGCTGTGTAACCCACATGGCAGCACGGACGCTGACCATCTCCTTCAACTGAAAGTTAGAATTTGGGTGTCTTGGCCAGTGGGGCTGATTCTGTCAGGTTTTGTTACTCTGCACAAAATTCTTTTCCTCTCATTGCTCAGCGTGCTGTGTGCGGACGCACAGGTCATGTTGTGTTAGTTGCCGTCCTCTGCAGCAGCTCTGCAGTGTGCCCTGTCCTGAGCCAGTCTCACTGATCCAACACCTACCCCATTGCCCCAGGGCAGTCAGGAGGGAAGGAAAAGCCAGGGCCACACAGCTTGGGGAGGGCTCCTGCTGGGTCCCAGCTCTGCTCTTAGCATGGTCTGCACATCACTCAGAGCCTGGATCTGCCCAACAGCAAGTGCGGCCTCCACCACAGACAGACCGTCAGCAGGTGCCGCTGCTGCTCCGTCCGAGGCTGTGCTGGTAGCTCCCCAGGACCATGCTCTGAGGGTGCCCGGCACCATTAGTGTCAGTCCCTGTCCTCACCTGGCTCTGAAACACCCCTCTGAGTGTCCCCATCGTGAGTGACTGTCCAAGTGTGTGTTTCTGAGCCCTCTCCGGAGGACGTAGTCTAACTCCAAGTCTCTGTCCCTAGTGTCAGATCATCTACCCTCGGCAGCAGCTGCTGACCCTGCGTGAGCTGGAGATGATCGGCTTCATTGAGAACAACATTTCCCGGCTAAGCCTCTTGCTCAGTGAGATTTCACGGTGCGCCTGCCCGGATGCGAGGAAGGCTCTGGGGTGGGCATGGCGTGTGCTGGGGGGCGAGTAGCAGGCTGCACACTCAGAAGTCAGGGTTTCTGAGCAGTGCTGAGTTTCTACAGGTTAGTAAATAAACAGCAAAGTGGAAGCTAGGGCCTCAGAGCCCGCAGGTGACTGCAGGGCCAGTGCTGCTGTGAGACCCAAGGGCAGCTATACACCAGGGCATACCCAGGGTGCAGCCAGTAAAAGATGAGATGAAGGTCAGGGGCAGTACGCATGCGAGCTGCACCCTGTGATCGGAGAGGACCAGGCTCTCCATGGGTCAGAGGAGACAGCAAATGCCAGAGGCAGGTGGCTCTGTGCGAGGCTGTGAAGGTGGGAGACGGCAGGGCACGGGGAGAACAGCTCAGAAGTGACCTGGCTGGTGATTCAGGGCATTTGTCCATTCGCTCACTTGTCTTGTCAGTCTGGGTCTCAAGTGCATTGACTGAGCTGTGTCTACTCGCGTCTCAAAGTCACGGATCCTGGCACTGGAGAGTGAGCTGGGCTGGTCTCTGGGCAGCGAGCATGAGGAAGATATCTCAGAGAGGAGGGCCCCGCTGGTGTCCATGTGGGCTCAGTACTGTTCTCCCTGCCCTGCAAGTGTGTGCCCATGCAGGGTGCCCCTCCCAGGCCCAGGAGGAAAAGGCAGTCACTTGATCCCACTGTCCATTGAGACCAGACCCGAGGCTCCTGGGTGTCATGCTGCACTTGGTGCCCACACTGCCTTCAGGGTCCTGAGGACAGTTCCCATGGCACAGCTGACCCTGCTTGTCTCCACAGGAAGAGCGAAGGCCTGAGCGGGCGGGTCCTGCGGAAGCTCCCCTTCCTAGCCCACGCACTGTATGTGCAGGTGAGCCACCTCTGCCTCGTCACCTCCAGGAGCTGCCTGCCATGGCCCTCACTGACCCACCCCTCCAATGTATGTCCCTCCAGGCCCCCACTGTCACGGTAGAGGGCTTCCTCCATGCCCTGTCCCTGGCGGTCGACAGACAGTTTGAAGAGAAGAAGAAGCTGTCTGCTTGAGTGTGACCCTGTGTTCTGGCCCTCCTGCTGCATCCCCTCGGGAACACTGTCCCAGGAGCCCACCAGTGCCTGTTCAGGGCCTCCTCCCACTGGGACATCACCTCTGCAAGCAGCCTCTGCAAGGACCTCAAGCAGTGCTGCCCCCGCGGCCACACCCTATGCTGTGAGCCCCTGACCGTAGTCCCAGGGCTTGGTGCTGACTGTTCTGAGATGTTCTCGTGACTAATGCAGATTTTGTCTCTCTTTGAAAAGCAACCTCAGTGTTAAACACGCACCTCTGTGTGAAACACTAACATACTTTGCTAAATCTGAAGAGTGCAGCTGGTACAGACACAAGGCCTGGCTGACCGTCCTGCTAGGCACCTGGAGGTGGAGGCCATCCTGGCCATGCCTGTCCTCTGGGTGTGAGGGCCTGCGGCCTGCGGCCCGGTCAGTACTAGTCAGTTCTGTATGTTGGGGATGTTCACGTCTCAGGTGAAGTCAGATGAACACAGCACAGACAACCTTCAATTACTGGTGCATTTCACAGAGTGCCATGTTTATCTCATGCTGAAGCAGACTTCTTGTTCATGTTTTATACGTTAAGTCTATTTTAAAAGGACTGATTGCCTTTTAAGTATTAAAATGCTATTTTCCAAGTTTCTTGTGTTCTATTTAATTCACAAGTGTCCTTCAGGTGTTTTTAGCATGTTGACCATTTACGTCCTCCTTTCTACCCGTTTTCATTCTTGCTGGTTGAATTTCTGGCTCTGAGGGGTGCTGGGATCCATCAGGCCCCACGCCAGAGCCACCAAATCTACTTTGACTCTAAGCCTATGTAGCTACATGGGGAGGTCTTCATGGAGAAGGGTCCTGGGCTGATCCCTCCTCTGGTGGGGTGATACCATGTCCATCTTCACCTGCTGCAGCCGCAATATCTCTAACAAATTAAATTTAATCTCTAAAAAGTCCACACGGGTGCTGAGAACTGGGGCACAGAGAGAGCTTCCCTCACAGGGGTGTCTGCAACCATTGGGGAACTGTCAAGGGTCTCCCCTCGGCCAGACATAGGGTCATCCTGGAGGTTTGTGCACATGGGGGCACATGTGATGGGGCTTCTCAGG